TTCTTGTTTTTGATCAATGGTTTCTAAGCTTGTTTAAATACTCCTTCAATTGATTCGGAACGTTGGGGATGATTAGTGGAGTCAATAGAGCCATTTAAGTGTGAAAACAATTAATAAAATCAGTTGGGAGCGTCAGTGCATCGGTGCATCAAGTGTAAAATTCAAATATTTTGACCGTTGGAACACTTAGTGCATCGGTGCACTAAGTGTGCATCGATGCATAAAATGCATTCGATGTTTTGAATAAGCCTAAGTTCATCGATGCATGGTGTGTGCATAGATGCATAAAATGCAATCGATGTTTTCATTAAAACCTGAGTGCATCGATGCATGGAGAGTGCATCGATGCATAAACTGCATTCGATGTTTAATTTATTTATTAGTGCATCGATGTATGGATTGGTGCATCGGTGCATTCCTTTGAAAACTTGATTTTAGGCTTGATTTTGGTTCAAAATACTTTGTGAAAATTGTTTCAAAAATATATTAAGTATAAAACACAATTTTACACATTTAGTAAGGTTTGAAATTGATCTTGAAAGACTTGGAGTAATGATTTGATATTCGATTAATTGAATTGAATATACTTATAAAAATCTTTGTAAAATCTTAAAATTCATTTATACTTAATTTGTTATATCGAAACATCAAAATGTTTTCAACACATGTGATCGTCCATGCATACATAGATATTGAGATGTTTGGCATACAGGAAAGAAGCAAGTTGGGTTTCAAGGGTAGGGGTTTGGTATGTAAGGTGAGGCCATTTGGGACCATCACCCTTCATAATATTTGTCATTTAAAACATTGCTACCCTCTCCTTTTCTTTATCCTCTGTTTGCCTTAATAATTAATTATTACCATAACTTTAAAAGATTCTAGTGTAATTGCTGTTTGTTTTAAATAAGAAAGGTGTGATGTGTGGAAATATAGAGGTATTTATTAGAATGAATCAGTACATGTAATTTATAAAAGAAAATTATAAACACTATAATTGTGAAACTCATTGTAAGCAACGACATGTTAAGCATGCAAAAGCTGAGGCAGGTGGTTGTTGAGCATGCAATCGAAAATGGTGAGAATGAAAAGAATGCAAAGTTTGTGGGATGGTATGTAAATTAGAAAAGAATGCAAGCATCTCAAACTAATAAAGTTGCAAAGGCAGATTATGGAATGGCTCGTCATGCGACATTCGTTGACTGGACCAAGCATTCATGTGCTGAGGGATTGTGTTGCTATCGAAGGGCTCTGGCTTAAGCCTTAAACTATTACCCAATCCCAATGGCTTTAAGGGTTCTTTATTCTCAAAGCTTCATCTCTCTTGTTCAAGCCTCATGACCATTCTTGAAACAGTCCCGGAAACCATTCCTTGCAAAAAACACAAAATAAAAAGTAGGCATGTCTTGATGATTTGCCAAAATTGTGTGGCTCAACCGCAAATACACGACGATTCTTGAAACAGGACCTGAAACCATTCTAATTACTTTTGAGTGAGACCTTGATGGTACTCCATACACTCGTATTATATCATGGTACTCCGTTATTTAATATATTCAATATATGTTTTATATATAATTTATTTATATTTCAAGCGTTTGGATCAATTGACACAAAATTATTCTTTAGATTAAACAGATTTTAGAAATTTAACAACGTTAAATCCAAGTGAACGTTATTAGTCTTTGTTTAGACCATTAAATGAATGGTGGGTTGAAAGAATAAGAGAATCAGGATCAAACTGCAAGACTATTAAATTATTAAATCAAATTTTTTGTTTTTCAATTGACATGATAACTTAAATTCTAATTCGATTCATACTTAAAAATCAACTCAATTACTCAGGTTGATTCAAATAATTCGAAATTTTAAAAGAATATATCTTTTTCAAATCAACTGGAATTTCGTTCACCATTATTTCACCATTATTTATGAATCAACATCAATCTTTAAACCCAATTTGGGCCCAATCCATTCAATCTCCCATTGAATCTTCAACAAAACCAAACTATCCAGGACCATTTGGTTCGTAAAAAAGATCATTTATCAAGGAAAATACTTTTTTGTATTGTATTCTTAAGTTTGATTTACGGAAAAGATTATTATCCGGTAATAATCTTTTCTCAATAATATCATTTTTGTCAAAATGGTAGGAATGTCATTATCTCTAAATTTTTAAGTATTACACAATTTCCACTATTTTGGACAAAAACACCCCTAAAATAATAAATTCTTTTTATAATTATAATTCTTAATTATTATTCTTTGTACTTTACTCAAAATTATAAACATAATATTAATATACAAAGAGTTTGATTTAATAAAATATTAATAAATTTGAGTAGTTAAAATTATTTTATATTTTTAATATTTAATATATTAATTATTTATAATTTTATGAGTTTCAAAAATGATATTATTATGAAAATGTAATTATTTAAAATAATATATAACTTTAATTTATTAAAATTTGGATCTTGTATATTGAAAAATAATATTTTTGTCCACTCAAGATCATAATATTACTTTTCATATTATATTATATTTTATATAAATAAATATGATACTTATAAAAATTATTTAAAAAAATAAATTTAATATACTAATTATATTAATTATATATTAAATATATTTTTTTTAAAACGAGATAGTATAACAATGAAAGTGTTTATATAAATTTTCTTTCAAATAATTATAATTTAATATTTTTCGACTCAAAATACCAGTAAATTTTTATTCAATAAAATAAATTGCCAGTTCCAAGGACAATCCAACTGTCCAGCAATAAAGGAATTAAACTAAACTAAGGTACTAGTTGTCTTCTAATAGGAAGTCTCACGTGTTGTAGTCTTGATATACGGTTAATGAAAGATATTATTAATTTTATTATTATATTTTAATATTTTATATAAAAATTTATCTAAAACATTATTATTTCTACCAGTTTTGTTATTATTGAATATTTTACCAGTTTTGTTAATATATCCAATTAAATATTACCTAAAATATTATTTTTTTTCTACTAATTTTATTATTATTTGACACTTTAAAAAATATTAATCTTTTAGATAAAAACAATAATATTTTATATATTTTATACTAAAAATATTAAAAAAATAATAAAATCAATAACGACTTTTGTTAGTTAGTGGCATATTAAAGTTGTCGGATGGTAAAACTTTCCGTATTCTACTAACGAAAACAAATCGGCAAAGACAAAACAATAAGGGTGTTCAAATCCAATCCGACCCAAAAAAATAATCGATAATCGAAAAAAACCGAAACTGATTTAGTGTGTTTGTTTTTTTTTAGAAAACCGATAGGTTCGGTTCGGTTTCGGTTTGAAAATCTAAAACCGATCCAAACCGAACCGAACCAATAGTGTTAGCTATCTCCATGCGACACCGTTTCAAGTTTTGTGTAAAAACTGAAACCCTAACCTATTTTCCCAATTTTCTTCACGTCTCCGCCTCTTCTCATCCTATTCCCTTTCCTCTATCCTTTGACCCTTTGAACAGAAAGTCAAGTGGCTGATTTGCGACAATAGATTTTCCTTCTTTGGTTTTCTTTCAGCATTGTACTTTGTTTTCTTTCAGCATTGCACTTTGTTTTCCTTCTGTTTTGCTTAATGCAGTTAATTGCTAACCACTTTATTTTTCGATTGCAGTTTGGGCTGAGTAATTTTCTTGTTTGTTTTCCGGGAAAACTCAAGAAAATGCTCTTCTGATTGATCGTTGTTTCAGCAAAAGGTGAGCCAAGTACAGTTCTTTTCATATTTTCATACTGGAATTTCCCCACTTGTTCTGCTTTCTAATTGTCTTTTCATACTTGTCGAAATTTGAGTTTAAGGATGTGGTTTTAGATTGCATGCAAGTGCCTGTTAATGGATCTGGTATTTTGAATTGTTTTATCAATTGCACCTGGTATTTACTAATTTTCGAAATCTGATTGAAAGTTGCTCGATGAAAATTCGAGTCACTCATTCAGTGGGGACTAAGCAGGAAGGTAATGGTTCATAAGGAAAGCTGATAAGCATATCAATGACTATATTTGATTTTAATGTAGTTGATGGGATTGAGAAGAAAACAGTACAATAACGTTAAGAGCAAGTTATGGAACAGACAAAATCCAATAGGGAATTCTTCACCCAAAACAGTACAAGAGTCGTTCTGTATGGATAAACTTGATGGAAATTCTGTTCTTGGTGTTAGAACACACAGAGGTTGTCTGGTTTCATTTTTTGTTGTTCAATGTGATGCAAGTGTAAAAATAGAATAATATTAACATGCACATTGTTGGAAAATGCTTGAAGTAACTGATTAGGCGTCTAATTTCTTGAAGTTTCAAAATGTATTTACCAAGTAAAGTTCATTTGAAATGTGCAATTTTTCCTTCTATTAAATGCTACCAGTGAATTTAAGACTGAAAGTTTCCTATCAACCTCATTAAAAATTTTGTTTTTAATTGAGCTCACCATGTCTTCAAGAGTTCTCTTTTGCAAATGAGAGTAAGATACTGTAAGAGCTGCCAGACATACGTATAGGGTTTTGACCACCACTGCCTTGCTTTTGGAAACTGTATTGATACTAGAAATCAATTTGTTTTTGGCAATACATTTTTTAACTAATTTTTTTTTATTTTTCGATACCTTCTTAATCTGTTCTTACCATGCAAATAACCCTTTGTTTATAAGATTATTCTTAACTAAATATTATCCTCCTTTGTGATTGATGTTTTTATGTCATCATGGGCAATAACAGAATTTTGAAAAATTAGAATTCAAAAACCGCACAAATCCAAACCGAATCACACCGCATTTAATCGGATCGGATCGAATCGATTTTTTTTAGAAACATCCAAACCGATCCAAACCGCAAAAAATTATACTTTAAGATCGGATGAATTTTTAGCCAAAAACCGATCCAAACCGACCGCGAACACCCTACAAAACAAAGTGGCAAAGTAAATAGAAATAGAAAACCCAAAAACAAAAATTATTTCTAACCGGCCTTTCTTCTCCCTGGAAATATGAATCAATGATCGAGCCACCTGGGAGAATAAAAAATCAAAATAAAATCAAGCCTCTACAATCAAAGTATTGACCTCCGGTGCATCTAAGGAGGTTCAATCCACCGTTTATCTTTCACAGCTTGCGCTATCACTCGTCGGGGGCTTCTTCAACCCAATATCTATCTTCGACGCCAACAAAGGAGTCCGCCGCAAGTAGGTGAGCAGCTTCATTACCATATAGATGCCAGATGCTTCCCCTCCCAGATCACGGTGCGCACCTCCAATAGATTAAGCTCATTTTTCGATAATTTATAGATAATGGATCTTGAGTCTCCTTCAAAGGCAACCACTGTAAAACCTAGATCTATGGAAAGTTGGATCGCATGGATAGCAGCAATGGCTTCGACAGCAAAAGCTGAGGTAATCCTTGTAATTTTTCTCCTAGACGCTCCTAAGATAAAGCCCAAATTATCCCTGATCATAACGCCTGACCGCGCTTCTTTGGTTCCATGTGAGAAACTAGCATCAAAATTTGTTTTGACCCAAGGAGCAGCTGGAGGACGTCATCGAACCTGAAGAGGGGGTGAGATGAGCTTGGAACAAACTTGCACGAACGCGAACTCTTTGCAATAGGCAAGAATACAGGCAGCAATTTCCCACTGTAACAAGACCTTTCCCTCATGGTAAAATTTATTCTGAGCGAACCATATCGCCCAAATAGTAGTTAAAATTTCACCGTCTGTTAACTCTATAATGATAAAAAAAAATCCAACTCATCCACTATTTAATGACCCACTGGAAACCTTGGGGGGCAATGAATCCCTAAGGTTTGCCCTACAGCCCCCGCTAGTGGGCACTCGTGCACCTCATGTTCAACCGACTCCACTGAGTTAGGGCACCTTAGGCAATACGGCTTAGAAGTAACCCGTTTCTGAAAAAGGTTATTCATCCTTGGCACTAGATTACGAATGAATTTCCACCCTTGAATTTTGATTTTACGTTGACAAGAACTCTCCCACAGCCTGTTATACATTGTTAAAGTTTTAGATGAATCCATATCGTTGCTCAACAAAAGTCTATGCCCACTCCTAACAGTATATTGGCCCGACCTTTCTCCACTCCAAAGTAGACTATCAGTCATCCTAATCAAAGGGAGAGGGATATCAAGAATCTGATCGACCTCCTTGTCATTGAAAATTCCTCGCAGGAGATTCTCATTCCACTCATTCTTACCATCAAGCAAAAGATCAGAGACCCACTACACTAAATTCCGTTGTGGTGAAGCAATCTTAGCTGGAGGATATATCGGCAACCAAAAGTCGTTCTAAGCGGAGATGGAGGTTCTCGTTCCCACTCTCCATCGGAGCCCCTTCTCCAATAGTCCACGGGCACTCCAAATACTACATCAAATGTACAACAGCTGAGATCCAAGCCTCGAATTCAAAATGGTAGTCGAGGGTAATATTTAGCTCGAATGATCCAGCTAGCTAATAAAGCCATGTTGCTAAGTCTTGGAATCTCATTCCACCATTCTTCTTTAACTCGCACAAATCCTTCCAAGAACACCAATGAATATCACGCTTTTTCTCTGATTTATGCCACCAAAACCTGGCCATAATCCCTTCTAATTCTGAACATAAGCTTTTGGGCAAAAGAAAACAATTCACTACGAATAAAGGAAGTGCCTAGAGAACTGATTTAATAAATACTTCCTTTCCTCCTTGAGAGAGAAACCTTGAGCTCCAAGAATTAATCCTCGTTAAAAATCTTTCTTTATACTGGACAAATGCCCCCTTCCTATTTTGACTTACTATCGTTGGAAAACCCAAATATTTCTCCGGATTAGTCATACTTCCAACTTCCAAAATTCGGCGAATGTCAGCTCTATGATTCTCAATCACATTCGAGCTAAAAAATACCGGACTTATCAAAATTTATTACCTACCCAGAACATTAGCCATAAATCCGGAGCATATCCTTAATTACACTTGCCACCCTTGCATTCGCCTCTCCAAAAAGAAGGCAATCATCTGCAAAGAGAAGGTGTGTAACCGTATGTGCATACTAGTTAACTTTTACACCTTTTAAACGTCTCGAACTCTCGGCTTGTTGCATAAGCGAGGATAACCCTCCATTGCATAACAAAAATAAGGAAGGGCTAACGGGGTCACCTTGACAAAGACCTCGCTCTGAACTGAACACCTCTTCCACACTACATTTTTCACAACTGCATAGGAGACCGAACAAACACAACGTTTGACTAATGCAATCCAATATTGAGCAAACCCTATTCTAGCCATAATTTCCCACAAATACGACCATTCCACTCGATCATTTGCCTTACTCATATCCAACTTAAGTGCAAAATAACCCATTCGCCCATATCGCTTATTAACAAATGTGTGGAGAAACTCATATGCCAAAATTATATTATCAGTAATCTGACGCCCCGAAACAAATGCACTTTGTGCTTTATCAATAAAAAGATTAAGCAAACTTTGCATTCACATGACAATCATTTTTGAAACGATCTTGAAGATTACATTGCACAAACTAATTGGACGATATTGGGCAAGCTTCGAAGGAGATTTCACCTTTGGAATTAAAACTATATAACTCAGATTAACTGACGCCATATCATACTGTCCCTTAATCAAACCAAGATAGATATTTGTAGTCACCCCGCCAACAACATGCCAAAAACGTTGGTAAAATATATCACCAAGACCATCAGCTCCGGAGGCTTTAAAGGGCCAATACTTTTTACCTCAAATATCACATCCTAATACGTAAACTCCCTCAACAATCTATCATTTATCTCAGTCGAAATAGAAGAGGAAACACCCTCAAGAATTTGATAAGCATCACTACTACAAGTCGACATGATCAACTCCTTGAAATAGCTCATTGCTTCCGTACTAATCCCACTTTCATTCTCTAGACGGTCTTTATTTTTTGTTTCCAGGAATTGGATTCGATTTTGTTTCCTCCTTTGGGTCGCATATTTGTGAAAAAATGCAGTATTGTTATCCCCGTTATGTAACCAATTTGCCCTCGCCCTTTGTTCCCAATAGAGCTCATATTTACTTATCTCCTTGTTTAATTGAAACTTAGTGCCTACTACTTCACCCAATATGTCGGATGTTGGAACCAATTCCTCTAAATCTCGATGCAGCTGTTGAAGACTTTCTACAGTAATATGCTTTTACTTCCTTATCTTTTAAAACCATATATCCATTCCTCCTCGCACATACTCCAATCTATCCAAAAAGAAACCCAAGGAAGACCCCAAAGCCGACAAACCACATGTTGAAAAGTCTTCTCAATCACCAAAAGGTGATAATAAAGAAAGAAAAAAAATCCACCGAAAGTGGAAATTGCTTTAGGTGGCAGAAAATGTTGAATTTTAGACAATGGTAGAATCATAATTTAGTCATTGTAATTTAGGGTATTTATAAATTAGTCCTTAAGTTTCAACTATAAATACCCTAGCTCATTTAGCTTCAAAATCATCCCAAAAACATTCTAATTTTCTTCCAATACTAGAGAGAATTTAGAGAGTTCTTGAGAGTTGTTTTCTCCTTTTTATCAAGAGAGAATTATCATCGTTTTCTCCTTGGTAGATCGAGAGAAGTTGTAATTCCTATTTTCTCATAGTGAAATTCTTCTACCGTTGCCCGTGGTTTTTACCCTATATTATTTAGGGGTTTTCCACGTAAATTTTGTGTCTCTTTTATCTTCAATTTTTTATTTTCTCAAATTATCAGTTGTATTTTTGTTCTATCCGATAGCCGTCTTCCGCAATAATTGGTATCAGAGCCAGATTATAGTGTGTAATATCTGCTTATTATCTTTGTGGTTGCCACCAAAAGGTGGATCCTCCAACATAAGAAAGTAAGAAGGTATTACCCATTCTTTGAAGGTTCCAGAGAACTATTCACGATAGTGAAATAGTGGGCGTTATCCGTAAAAAAAGCTATGGCAACGAAATTTAATATTAAAAAATTCAATGGGAGAAATTTCTCATTGTGAAAATTGAAGATGAAGGCTATCCTGAGGAAAGACGGTTATCTAGCAGCTATCAGTGAAAGGCCGGTGGATTTTATAGATGACAACAAATGGAACGAGATGGATGGGAAAGTTATGGCAAACTTTCATCTAGCATTAGCAGATGAAGTATTGTCAAGCATTAAGGAGAAGAAGACAGCTAAGGAAATATGGGATCATCTCACCAAATTGTACGAGGCCACATCGTTGCACAGTAAAATTTTCCTTAAGAGGAAATTGTATACTCTCTGGATGTCAGAATCTACTTCAGTGATGGAGCACTTAAACACACTAAACACGTTATTTTCTCAGCTTACATCCTTAAGATGTACAATAGGAGAACAAGAACGTGCTGAACTTCTACTTCAAAGTCTATCAGATTCGTATGATCAATTCATCATCAACTTGACAAACAGTAATGTCACCAGTCTAGTCTTCGATGACGTTTGCAGCTGCTATTCTACAAGAAGAAAATCAGCGTAAGAACAAGGAAGACAGACAAGTAAATCTGCAACAAGAAGAAGCGTTAACAACGATGAGAGGGAGATCAACTGAACGTGGCCAAAGCAGCAGTCACAAACATGGTAGATCGAAGTCGAGAAGCAAGAAGAATTTAAAGTGCTAAAACTGTGGAAAGAATGGTCACTTGAAGAAGGATTGTTGGAGTCTAAATAAAAACTCCAATCCACAAGGCAATACTGCAAACACTTCAGATGATAGAGATGCTCTATGCTGTGAAGCATCAACCAACGTGGAAGGTAGAAAGAGATATGCAGACATATGGCTCATTGATTCGGGAGCAACATATCACATGACCTCAAGAAGAGAATGTGTTAGGATTTTCGGAAGCTCGAAACGACAACCGGAACGATTTGCAAAGAGGGGTCGGAACGGTTTTGTGTTTAGGGAGTAAGGAGATTGAAAGATAGAGAATTGCACAGCGATTTATAGTGGTTCGACTTTCTCAAACAAAGTCTACGTCCACTACCTTAGCTCCTCACCAAGGATTTTCCAACAAATTCACTAATTTGTTCTTTCTTTTGAGGATAAAGAGTAACCTTACAAACTCCCTAGTTTTTCCGGGCTAAACTAGAACCTTTCCCTAGCTTTTACACGGGATAAGCTAGAACCTTTCCCCTTTACAAAAGGATAAAATAAGTAAACAAGAAAACCTCTCTAAGGTAGGTGTTTACAAGATTGAGCTCACAAGAACAAAATATTTACAAGAGAAAGATGAAATAAGATTGAAAAACTCTTCTCTTGTGTTTGATTGCTTGGATAATTGTTCTCTTGCTTCTTCAAGTGTCCTTAGCTTGTATTTATAGCTTGGAATGAGTTTGAAGTCGTATCTAGCCGTTGGGGATGTTTTGGAGCCGTTTGGGAATGATTTTTCTACTCAAAAAGGCTGCCCAGAATGGGGGGAATCGGTACCCCTTCATAGGGAATCGATACCCCTTCATAATATTCAAATATTATGACCGTTGGGCTGATGAACAGTGAGGGAATCGGTACCCCCTTGGGGGGAATCGGTTCCCCTTTTACAAACTGGAATTTTTGAGCCTCGGGTTACTGTTCAAATAGTAAATTGCTATTCATAAAAACATTTTTGTGCTCAA